GTCATCCTCGTGTTGCTCCTCCTTGTAGGCCTCTTTTTGGTCCTTAGTGAATTCATCCAACTTCGACGTCCACACGTTCTCGGTCTCACCTAGATCCTCCTCGACTTCGAATTGTCCAGACTTTATCGCAGTCATTGTCCAGGTGTTACTCGGCGGCGTGCTCGTCCACACGTCCTCATAGACCTCGTCCAGGTCTTTCTCTGCTTCGCGTTCATCCTCATGTCCTCGTAACCTGCATCTGGGACTACAGGCGTCGAGGCAGGGGCGTCCTTTCCGGCATCTGAGGGCGGCTTATACCTGCACTGATGAACTCCTGGAGTTTGACCAGATCTACGGGTGTCCAGGCAGGCATCCTGGGGCAACTGATACTTACTCTGACGAGTTCCTAGCTGGTGGCGCCCTTCCATTGCATCCTGGGGTCGCTTACTGCCTGCACTAATGAGTCCTGGTCCTCGGGACTTAGGCGATCTTCCGGCGAAGTCTGTCTCACAGCATTCCAAGGCAACTGTACTGCAGTTAGGCCTCCTTCGGTGCTGTGTCGGATATCCACAGTCCTGTTAATGTATTATCAAACCAGATCATACACATAAGGGCCAAGATAGTCAGATTTTTCACTTTTGTATTTTTCAAGAAGAAAGTGAGTGTGGGAGATGGGAGTAGTAATCCTCACAGATTTTCAGCTACAAACCATCTCAGATAGATATGAAAGTAGATAAGGGGAATGACAGCAATAATCCGCGAGGATCTACTTGAACCAATTGTCATTTCTTAGAGAAAGAAAAAATATGTGTGAGAATTGTGCATCAACATCGTGGGCAAAAGAGATAACCTTCAACAATACAACAAATCCTCTTAATGAAGATTTGAATATATTTACAGAGTTGTTCTTTTGTAGTTCAAGACCTTAAGTTACGAACCATCAGATAGATATGAGAGTAGATAAGGGGAATGACAGTGATTTACTTGAACCAATTGTCATTTCTTAGAGAAAGAAAATATATGTGTGAGAACTGTGCATCAGTCACTCATCACGACTGGCAACGTCGCGGGCAAAAGAGATAACCTGCAACAACAATACAACAGATACTCTTAGTGAAGATTTGAATACATTTATAGTGTTCTGCGCGAATGAGTGAATATGAAATGATTGCATGTTATGTTGTAACTCGTCACGATTGCCAAATCGCGGGCAAAAGAGATACCTTTTTACTCTTTATGCCTACAACTAGGACAGATTTTATTCAGGAAAGTTTCTGTCTATTGTTCTGCGTGAATGATCGATTGTGTGTGTGTGTGTGTGTGTGTGTGTGTGTGAATATCGTAAAGAGACACCGAGTTCACACGAAGAATGATTTACAAATGAATAACAATGTTCATTTTGGCAAATGTTATAATCATGTATTATGTTAATATAACATTATTTCAACTACCACATTGAACTCAACATTAAATGATGAATGGTGACTTTTTTTTTTTTTTTTTTTTTTTGCGAGCTTTCACAATACAAACTTCCCAGTTCAGAAATGTTGTAATGCTATCCCCGATTGTATTTAATCATAATTACGGATTCGCTATAAATGCTGATAGGCTGAAGTAATTATTTTTTCGCTTACTCGTGTTCAAAGTATGTTAGACTTCATCAGTGGATGGGGTTTCCCTTTTTACCCAAATTACCGAACGAAATTAAGTGAATTGAACGAGACTCGAAATTCTATCGTTACCGTCTTTACTCTAATAATTTCTGATGGGTGCTTGTGACTATCTAGTTCACGAATGACATGACTGCTGAGATATCCCGAACATGCAAGTGGTTAAGTAAAGTGAGAAGGGTGTGATTAATATGGGAATCATTATTCTTGCTCAAAACCCTAGTCCTACATTTACAAACAGACGACACACAGGCTCACACTGATTTGAGTTGCCAATCGAATGAATAACTTCAGTATTTACCTACTCACTCTCGGACGACAGAGCGAGAGATCTATTAGATGCGCATCCTTGTGCACTATGAAAGGGAAAGATTCTAACGCTATTTTCATATAATGAATTCATACATATTTGTGGCCAAAGCTATGTTTTCCCGCCAAGAGAACGTGTCACCATTTAGCAATGACGGGCAAATCAACCAGTTTCCTTCCCGCCACGACTGAAAGAAGGGGAAAGTGAGGTCAGTCGGGGGGAAAACTAGAGAGAAATAAATGATATGCACGTTCGTGAATGCGAATAACGAAATCAAGAGAGAATAAAATGAACCAAAAGAGTCCAAAACGAGTGAAATTCAACAATCAATCAACGAAATTCGTACAAGAAGAGAATGGAGTACACAGAAATCATGAAATAAATGCGAATCACAAGGAGAAAATTCTCAGTGTGAGAGAAATCACAAACAAATTGAATTCGTTATAGATAAAACAATATTCATCTCGATAAACGAGAGAATTAATTATCATTGCTGGGTGAATCCGCAGCCAGCCCACCCAGCGAGGCGGGGGACAATCAGCAGAGAGGCCGGCTCATTCTCGCAGAGAGGATAAGTCAGAGTCTGAGTGGGTTCTGTTGCCAGCCCGCCCTGGCGAGGCGGGGGCACGGTCAGCGGAGAGTGAGACTGGGTCAACCTGTGCTGAATTCTTATGGGCCTGGGTCGTCACCCAAGCTGGCTTAGATAGCATACACATGGGCCGTATATTTAGAATCGTGCCATGAGGGGTCCATGGCACTACATCAGGATAACAAACACGTGGAAACCAGCATGATCTGTGAGCTAGCATTATACATGTTATGCAGTATGCTATAGTCTCTCTCACACACACACACATGTACGTAGTACAAAAATCCATGTTTTTATATATCATAAACATGTTCATTCTGTTGCAGAGAGAATTCAAGCATGCCATAACCTGATAACGGAGGAGGCGGTGAAGGAGGCCCTGAAGGCGCACAAGGGCGGCGAGGCGAGACTCACCTCCTGGCAGATCAAGGACTTCACCAGCAAGGGCGACAACTACGCGTCGGTGGTGTCGAGCGTCGAGCTGGACTTCGACCTCAATGGCAACGACGAAAGCATAACGTACATCGTGAAGATCAACCCTTGCCACGGCATGGAGAGCTTCGAGGAAATGACCCACACGATCTTCCTCAAAGAAGCGGAATTCTACATCAAGCTGCTGCCTCAGCTGAACGGGGTGTTGCGGGAGCACGAGCTGAGCCCTCTGGCGGTGCCGGAGTGTCACTACGGCACCCTGGAGAAGAAGAAGGAGCTGATTTTCCTGGAAGATTTGAGGCCTCGGGGCTTCAAGATGTTCGACCGTCGGAAGGGGCTGGACGTCGCGCACGCAAGCCTGGTGTTGAAAGAGCTGGCCAGACTCCACGCTGCCTCTCTGTTGCTGCAGAAGAAAGACCCCGAGTATTCCAAAGACACGCTTCTGCACAGGCTGGATTAACATGACGGAAGATGGATCAGCCATAATAAAGATGTTGGAGGAGTTATGGATACGGGAATACTCATCATGAAGAAGGTGGGGGGGTATGAGTCGTCCATCACATGGGCTGAGAGTACTAAGTCGAAGTTGCGAGAGATTTTCGAGAAGCAAATGGAACCATGCAAGCATCAAGTCATATGTCATGGCGACGCCTGGAATAACAACCTGCTTTTCAAGTAAGATATTCCATGATAAAGTGTGTGCACTATTGGTGGGCGTACGGAGAAGTCGCATCCTCCTTAAAACAATAATTTCCTTATTCTTTGCAAAAGACAGTTATATACGTAAATTCATGTATATATACATATATATAATAAAAAATAATAATGTTATAATCATGATAGTAATAAGAACAATGATAATGATATTGATAACAAGTATAATTGTAATGATAGTATTAATAGTAAAACTTGGAGGCCTAATGTTTTCAGAACACAAACCAGAATTGTTACTGTCAATGAAAAGATGGTTACCGTCAATGCCATCGACATATATCAAATTGCCTTCTCTCACTGCGAGCAGATACGACGAAGACGGCGTCCCTGTGGAAGTGATGCTGGTCGACCTGCAGTTGTGTCGGCGGGAATCCTTCGCCGTGGACCTCAACTACTTCCTGTACACGAGCCTCACGGGTGACGTGAGGAAGCCCAACCTGGACGCCCTCCTGGAGACGTACCGAGGCCACTTCAACGGCGTGGTGGAGGCCGGAGGAGCTGGAGGCGAGGGCGCCTCAGTGAGGTCGAAGTCGTGCAGGAATTCCGACGCTTGAACATCCTCGGGGCCATCTTCAACATGATGATCATAGGTGCCTTGCTGATGGAGCCGGGGACGTGCCAGAGTTCGTGGCGTCGGGAGACGGTGCGGACGACCTGGAGAGGGTCCTCGCGGATTGCCGAGCGAAGAGCTTGGAGATGGTCGACACGAACCCTCTGATGCGGCCGCGGTTCCTCTCCGTGTTCGACGAGTTGACGGAGGCCGGGCTCATCCCCGCGTCAGGAGCGCCCTGAAGAAGGAACTTGATCTCTCAGATTTTTTCTCTTCTAAATGGAATTATGTGCCATATAGAGAATTGTTATTCCAGATTGATATCTAAATGTTGTTTTCTTGTTTTTCCTATACAGATATTAATACTTGATATTGAAGGAAGGCATCGTAGATGCATATATATGTTATATAGCTGATTTACTTATACCTATTGATGAAATATAAATATTTTTTATATGATTCATTGGTCATATACCGAATAATAAAATGGTAATTTATTTTGTGCCTATTAATTATTTCCTAAATGCTGATAAAAAAAGAGGAAATACTGCTCAAATAGATTTAAAAGGTCAATTATTATAGCAATGCCTAATAAACAATGATACTAATGAATAATAAGTATGAGCAGTATGTCAAGAATCCTTTTATAAGACAAACACAAATAGAAGATGCGAATATATCATCTGTTTGTGAATAACAAAAGGAAAATCTTCAAAATGATATCTAACTTCCTAGAGCTTTTGAAGAATTAAACTCGCACATCTTCCCGCCATACCAACAGAAAACGGAATCCACTGCAACTGTAATGACGTCACTTAAAGGGACCGTTTGTGTAAAGGGTGTGTAAGGAAGTGACATTTTCTTAAGATTGGAAATTCATTCATGTTATATATATGTTATATATATATATATATATATATATATATATATATATATATATATAAAACACTGAAATCATAACAGTTATTGTATAAATGTCATTACGTTTTACTATTCCTAATTATTTACATGAAAATCAGTAGACCAGATTTCAACAACCTTTAACTCTGTTTCTCTTTCGACGGTTAATTTCATAGCATAAACAAGACAAGTTTGCAGCAGTAACAGCGAGAGGACAAGGGTCAAACGGTAGCAACAGAAGCAAGAGTAGGTAGTAACAGTAGAAAAAAAGGTGTAATAAACAACAGAAGTAGAGAGAACAATGGTAGGCAGAAGCAAGACGAAGGCAACAAAAAAATAAAGATAGAGAACAGCTGAAAAAACAACAAAAGTTACAAAGAGAAACTATGCGTAGAAGGGCTTGACATCTGCTTATACTGGACCGGGGTCGTCTAACAGATAATATGACATACAGCGTCAGAGGTGGTAGGGAGAGGGAAGGGGAGGGGAAGTAGGCGTGACTGTGCCATGGATCACCACGCCTTCCGGTCTGTTTTTAACACCCCACCCTACTCACTCTCGATCTCACGCAGGATTGTGCAAATTACGAGATCCCTGCGTGGCCTCTGCGTTTTTCTAAGAGCATTTACATCGAGGAGTGAGGACGCTCCAATCTCGCCCCGAGTCATAGAAAACGCGCACCGAGGCGAGGAAAGAAAACGGGGCCGCCTCCTTTCCTTGAATTCTTTTTACGTTAATACTATATTAAACTCATTTATTATTAGTTATCTTTATCCTTCCTCCATAAGACACGAACTTTTACTATACAAAGATAATGAAAAAAGGGGCGATTTTTTCTTTTAATCTTAAATCTAAAATCTCATTTTAGAGGGTAGACTTATGAATATTATGTATTGTGTTGTTGTGTGTATGTGTTGTTGGCTGGAATCTTTGGGGTGATTTTGCAGATTTTTCTTGATCATATTCATAACTTCATGAAAAGAAATAACGAAGGAAACCAAATTGGGTTTAGGTGTATATGCTTCACATACAGGCACACACACACACACACACACACACACACACACACACACACACACACACACACACACACACACACACACATGTAAATAAGGCTGCAAGGAGTCGCTAACAAACCGGAGCAATTCATAAATATTCTGTGAATATACTGCTAATACAAACCACAAACGTCTCTGACTGACAAACAAATTGTATAATGATAAATCTGTCTTAAAACATCCCCTGATAATCACTTATATAGCGTGGGTTTTTACCTAATGGGAGTCCCTGTGCTTTACTCGACCTATGTCATGTCACTTATTTAGTTGTTTTTTTCATTCTGTAACTTTACCTGAAGAGGATTCTACACTGTAGTTATTTTTCTTTTCCTCTCAGCTTTGGTCGTTCTATCCGTGTGTTTGTGGAAAATAATATATTTTTTCTTTAGATGTAGGTCAGTGGTTCCTGATGTTAAAAATCTTGCAAAATAATAATAAAAATAATAAATTAAAATAATAATAATATTAATAATAATGATAATGCGAATAAAACAATTTCTAACTTATCTAAAGAAACTTGTTCGTAAAATGTTAACTGAACCTTTACACAAAACGTAAACACTGGAAACAACTCCCAACATGCAATCCTTTGACTGTCGCTTGCAATGCTTTATCTTTCTCTCTTTTCAACGACGTGGAATAAGATGCATATTGTACAATATATTTGTTCTCTTAAGACCAAATCCTACTCCCGAACTCAAGCAAATAGTTAAGTAAAAAGGGACAACCTGCATTCTTCACTGTCCCTGAACTGCCATCTCGCGCCCGAGGCAGGAAAGGGCTAAACAGGGGTCTGTTATAAGCTAAGGGCGAGGTTGAATTACCCAGGACAGCTAAAATCTTACCCAAGGTCCTTGTTGTCTAGTCATGCTTACTTGTCTCCCTGTCTAGGTCTCCTTATATGGTCTTCTCCCCAGGGGTTGGCTGTGTTTACTTCTCTGTCGTCTCTCTCTCTCTCTCTCTCTTTAACCCCCCATCTCTCTTTCTCTCATCCCCCCCCTCTTTCTAACCCCCTCCCCATTTCTCTCTCTTTCATCCCTGGCCCTCTCTCTCTCTTTAACTCCACCCCTTTACTCCCCATCTCTCTCTCTCTCTCTCCTCATTCCCCTCCTTCTCTCCCTCCTCCTTTCCCCTCCTTTCCCCAACTTCTCTCTCTCTTCCTCGCTCCTTCCCCCTCCTCTGCGTGTGTGTATCTATACATCTTTCTACAAACACACAAACATACATATTTGAAGATGGACTGATAGACTAGATAGACTGAAATGCCATCTCGCCTTGTTGTCTTACTTGCCTCCCTGTCTAATTCTCCTTTTATGGTCATTTACCCATTTCTCTCTTTAACTACCCTCCTATTTCCCCCTCCTCTAACTCTCTCTCTCTCTCTCTCTCTCTCTCGCTATACATCTTTCTACACACACACATAAACATACTTATTTGAAAACAGACTGACGGGGAGGCAGATACATCGTAGATCGAGAAATGGACCTGTTCATTCACGTAACTGAACTTGATGGACTGGTGTATATGTACAATCAGAAGGGTAGATAACGAGTCAACTGAGCAACAGATATATAAGGAAAAGGGTACACATGAAGAGGTGATTGGCTGTTACGCTGTGAAGATAAGATATATGTAAGATATATATATATATAGATAGATATACACATATATATCTGCGGACCTTCCTCTTCCGGTGTGTATCTCTTTCTTCCACTCTATTATGTTCGTGGCCTTTTCTTCCTTGTCTCTTATGCCTTCGGGTCTTCACTGACGCAATCTCCTCGTTTTGCCTTCTTCCTCTCCTTTTCCGTTCGATCTTCTTCCTCCTTATTCTCATTCCTACATGTCTCTCGTCTCTCGTGACACACACACACACACACACACACACACACACACACACACACACACACACTCACATCTTCCTTGTTCTCATTCCTACATGTCCCTCGTCTCTCGTGACCACACACACACACACACACACACACACACACACACACACACACACACACACACACACACACACGATGCAAGTCATTCATAATGTCGTGTATAGAAATGACGCAATAATCTACAGAGCAAACGAATAACTACTTTATGGTCGTATTACCGTACACAAGTCCACGATGACGCGGCAAAAATTTCTCTCGGTCGCATTTTTGTGTTAGTGTGTTGGATGTGTTCTTATGTGCGTCCTCTAGCGTGTAGGCAAACACCTTATCAGGTATTAGTTAGAAAAATCAAATATCAGAGAGTATGTAAGAAAGGAAAGCATGTATCACACCGATTAAAAAATTGTGAGGCCCAAAACTTAATACAGCGCCATCTATTGTTTGGATATGTAACTAAAAAAGGGGAATATCTGTAGGTGCCTACAAATTTATAATAGATTTTTGAATTATATAGTTTTAAAGGTTTAGTTCCAGTTGAAGTTTTGCAATGTCTTTTTTTAAATAAAGAATTACTTTATATATATATATATATATATATATATTATATATATATATGTATATATATTTACATGGAATTATATGATTATTCTATTCTTTTTCTTATTAGAATTTTCTTTACATACTTTAAAATAGAATAAGTTTTTGCACTGTTTTTTTCAGAATACAATAAAACATTTATTAATAATTATCTCATGTGTATTCATATTTACATATTATTCTATTATTATATACTATACAATTTTATTGCAGAAAATATCTTTAGTGTTAACACAATGAATACGAACTTAAATTCCTAGACTACAATTTATTAAGTAAACAAATCTATTAAATAAACGACAATCATTCGGCATCAATAAATTCTTCATGTTTTTCATTCGTTTTTGCTGTGTCATTGAACCAAGGATATACCAAACAGATTTATGTAAAACATTTCTTTATTTGATTTCAAGTCATCATCAATGAAAATATTAATGAAAGGAGGCCTACAGTTAAAACAACAGGAAACATAAAACATGCAAAAACAAAAAAAAAAACAAACAAACAAACAAACAATCCCTTTCCTACCATTCACAGTTAGTGACGTTTCATGATAGTAAACAAACAGACGATACATCGCGTACACAACGCCATCTATTGTTCAGATATTACACTATCGCCAACCGTTGGGGCTCACAGACTTCTGCCATGCATTCCTATCTTTCGTATGTTGTATTTTCCAAATACGTACGTGAACCATGAATCATAACATACCTGGGCCACGGCGGGAAGCACCAGTGAACCCGGGCCGCAATGGAAACGTCCTTGAATGGAGGCGCCGTGGTGGCCTTAGCACACTCGCGTAGTCAGGGTAGCGACGAGCGAGTCAGTGGGTTTCGGTGGCGAGTGTAGGAAGTCGAGTGTTCTGTGTCTTGCGCGGTGAAAGGGACTTGACTGAAACATGAATACTGAAGGTAAGTAGTGACTATTGTTGAAGTGAATGAGATTTCATTGGCCGAGAAAGACGTAGAAAGTGAAGTTATATCTCGTATCTTGTATTAAAGGCCATTGAATGTTGTGGTTATTTCGGATTCTTTCTTTCATTAGTATTTCTCTCTTTTTTCATTCATCATTTTTTGTAAAGTATTTGCGTTTATGTTATTTAATGCGTCATCTAATATTAATATATTCTGAAGGTGAAGTTGATAATGTTATTGTTAATGGTGAAATAAGGATGATGTTGATATTGATGATGACATTGATACTAATACCAGTAGGGATGCCACTGCTACTACTACTACTACTATCAATACTATAACTACACCTACAATTGCTGCTACTACTACTATTAGTACCGCTACTCATAATAATAATAATAATAATGAGAATGATAAAAATGGTAATGGTTATGATATTTTTAACACAATAATAGCGTTAATAGTCTTGCGAGGTGCTGTGACAATATTTGTATTTATACCATCATTATGTTCAAAGCCATTATCATGATTGAGAGAGAGAAAAGTAAGAGAGATAGTAAGAAAAGAAAGAAAAATAAAAAGAGAAAGTGAAAAAGAAAGTAAGATAGAAAGAGAAAGAAAAATAACGAAAAAAAAGAAAAAAAAGGAGAGAGACGAATAACATTGCTAAATTAATTTTTCAATGTTGCATATTTCCTTGCCTTTCTTAAGACTCCAATTTTTTTTTTATAAGAAATGACATCCAGTCAGGCACCAAAGACCCAGATATAGGGGCCTCGGGATTAGAACAAGATCATGTTGGAACAAATAAAGCTCATTTCAGTGTGCACAAGCCATGGCACATTCGCCCATACTTGCCTCTTGTTGCTCTTCATCGTCGTCTCTTAAATCATTGTATTAACGTCCCTCTCAAACAAAGCATAATCTTTATAATATTAAGTTATTAATGATAACTTGAACCTAAACTCTGGAGGATGTGGCAAGAATTTTGCTTAAGAATGAAGGTCGATTCGTGTTATTCCTTGATGGATATGTAAATATATGTAGTTCAAGGATTTTCGTTTCCAAAGTTAGTTTCTGAGGATGTAGATATCAAGAGTGAGCTAGTAAGTAATTGAGTGACTGAGAAACTGATTATATATATATATATATATATATATATATATATATATATATATATGTGTGTGTGTGTGTGTGTGTGTGTGTGTGTGTGTGTGTGTGTGTGTGTGTGTGTGTACATATATATGTATGTGTGTATACATATATTTAAATACATTTATATGAGTATATGTATATATATGTATATATATGTATATGTATATATATATATATATATATATTGTGGGTATATACATATATATATATATATTATATGTATGTATTTATATTCATATGTATGTATAATATATATATATATATGTATGTATGTATGTATTAGTTAATGATAATGAAAACGATAATGATGATAATGAGGATATTAGTAATGATGATAATAATTATGTTAGTAATAATGATAATGATTATGGTAAAGACACTAATAAGAAAATGATAATGATTATGATAGAAAATGATATTATGGCAAGAAAAGTACAGCTTTGGCATATTGAACATAGCGTCTTATTGCCTCCTTCCCTCTTCCTCCTTGTCTCTCTTTTATTTTACTGATAAATGTTTGGGTAAAACATGTAACAGGCTATGACTGTATGGAACTTCGCTTGTGAATGCTCTCTCTCTCTCTCTCTCTCTCTCTCTCTCTCTCTCTCTCTCTCTCTCTCTCTCTCTCTCTCTCTCTCTCTCTCTCATATACATACATATGTACACCTAACACCAAAAGCGATGTCGCCTCGCCAGACCTGGGCTTGGAGAGATCTTGCCCTTCTTGCCCTGAAAGGTGGCCCACGTTCAAACAACCTGGACTTAGGAAAGGGGGGGGGCGAAGGGGGTGATTTAGATTCGCTAGGCAAAGCAAGGAGTGAGTGTTCGGCTATGTTTCAGTCCCATTTTATCGAGGCTAGTGTCTGCACCCCCTCTCTCCCTCTCACTCCCCGCCTCCCCCCCCCTCTCTCTCTCTCACACACACACATACACACTGTGGGTAATATTTGGCGGTGTGAATAATGTATCGTCTCAAATAGCGCCTCTTGGGCTACCAAACATTAATAAATGGCTTTGGCCGCAAAACTTCGAGGGTAATGGGCTGTAAAGGTATAGGTATCGATTCCCTTGTTTTCCTTTTATTTCGTTTGGGTGTCTCCTACGAACCACGACCTCCAGTCGCGTCCATGAATCGCGAAGCAAGGTTTGGTTGGGGTCAACTTGAGTGTGATGGGCCACTTGGCTCCGCCCCTCGCAATCATATACTTACAGAAAGTATTAATGTCTATTCTATCAGCATTAAGTTACTTTTGAGATACAAATTGATTTAAAGTGCATCGTCAGTCAACCTAATTTATTATTCTATTTCCGAAACTGTTGGTGAAAATGAATGATGTAAAATGAAAAGCAATGAATGTGTGCAGCGGTGCATTAATATAATGATGTGGGGTATATAGGATGCAGGTGTTGCGAAACTTATCCTATTAACATATCTTTTAGTATCAAATTATTAATTGACAGTCTTTAGACCTGGGCAGATTGGCACTTCCCAGCAAACCCCTTTCCCGGTTCACGCTTGCTCACTCACCCGCGAAAGGCCGAGTCAAGCTTCACTTTACCCAAGGCTAAGGGGATATTCCCTTAGCCTTGACTATACGCCTTTATTTGTCGTTTCAGCGGCTGGTGTCCAGCGCCTTGTCGGTGTTTCCCCTCTAAACTATTCAAGAAACCCATTGCTTTCGATATCCGTCTTTTACATATTAATTTCGTTATTTTGGCAATTAAAATTGTAAACATTTGGAAATATAATGGCGTATGAACTAATGTCATATGTTTTTCCAAATAATATATCAAAATACCATTATCCAAAGAGTGGATCCAGGTGATATAAGACAGAGAAGTCAGAGAGTAGCTGCTTAGGATAATGCAGAGCCATATATTAATATACATCCTTCATATATGAATGAAGGATATTTCCGTCTGACAAATATTAATATGAATCAGTTCCAAGAATTTTTTTTTATATAGAAAATATAAGGAATTGAATTAAAACGATGTGATAAGATTTCTTGATAATCATTTTCGAAATAATAAACGATAATTTATTTCTTAAGGCAGGTTTCTAATATATCCACCAAATTAACTAAACAGGAATAAAAGCGACCCCCCCCCCTCTCTCTTCATGTATATTTCAGTCATTTTTGCACTTCGCCTGATTTCCGTACTTTCTCACCTCCTCACATCCGAACTATCCTAACTATCCTAACTATGCCCTAGTTGTTTGAACGCGGGCCTCCTTTCAGGGCAAGAAGGGCATGATCTCACCGAGCCCAGGACTGGCGAGGCGTCACCGCTTTTGTTGCTGGCTGTACATAAATCCATGCTTTTTATATATCTCAAACACCCATTCCGTTGCAGAGAGAATTAAGGCCTGCCATAGCCTGATAACGGAGGAGGCGGTGAAGGAGGCCCTGAAGGCGCACAAGGGCGGCGAGGCGAGACTCACCTCCTGGCAGATCAAGGACTTCACCAGCAAGGGCGACAACTACGCGTCGGTGGTGTCGAGCGTCGAGCTGGACTTCGACCTCAATGGCAACGACGAAAGCATAACGTACATCGTGAAGATCAACCCTTGCCACGGCATGGAGAGCTTCGAGGAAATGACCCACACGATCTTCCTCAAAGAAGCGGAATTCTACATCAAGCTGCTGCCTCAGCTGAACGGGGTGTTGCGGGAGCACGAGCTGAGCCCTCTGGCGGTGCCGGAGTGTCACTACGGCACCCTGGAGAAGAAGAGGGAGCTGATTTTCCTGGAAGATTTGAGGCCTCGGGGCTTCAAGATGTTCGACCGTCGAAAGGGGCTGGACGTCGCACACGCAAGCCTGGTGTTGAAAGAGCTGGCCAGACTCCACGCTGCTTCTCTGTTGCTGCAGAAGAAAGACCCCGAATATTCCAAAGACACGCTTCTGCACAGAGGCTGGATTAATATGACGGATGATGGATTTGGTATGTTACAGGTGTTGGAGGGAGTTATGGATACGGGAATAATGATGTTAAAGAAGGTGGGGGGGTATGAGTCGTCCATTACATGGGCTGAGAGTACTAAGTCAAAGTTGCGAGAGATTTTCGAGAAGCAAAGGGAACCATGCAAGCATCAAGTCATATGTCACGGCGACGCCTGGAATAACAACCTGCTTTTCAAGTAAGTACGATATTCCATGATAGCTAAAAGCTTCAACAATTCCATTATTCTTCGCCATAGACATGCGTATATACATAAATTCATATATACATAAAATAATAATGATGATAATGGTAATAATGATAATAACAATAATTATATTTTCAACAATTATATAGTAATAATAGTAGTAGTAACACTTTTAGGCCTAATGTTTTCAGTGTCATCATTTATTATCCCCTCATTCTTCATCGGGCAGGAGAGAGAGTATATCTTATGTATCACACAAATAGTTACTGTCAATAAAAAGATCGTTACCTTGAATGCCATCGACATATATCAAGATGCCTTCTCTCACTGCGAGCAGATACGACGAAGACGGCGTCCCTGTGGAAGTGATGCTGATCGACCTGCAGATGTGTCGGCGGGAGCCCTTCGCCGTGGACCTCAACTACCTCCTGTACACGAGCCTCACGGGTGACGTGAGGAAGCCCAACCTGGACGCCCTCCTGGAGACGTACCGAGGCCACTTCAACGGCGTGATGGAGACTGAAGGCGAGGGGCGTCTCCTCGAGGGCGAAGTCCTGCAGGAATTCCGACGCTTGAACATCCTCGGGGCCATCTTCAACATGATGATCATATGCCCCATACTGATGGAGCCTGAGGACGTGCCTGACTTCGAGATGTCGGGAGACGATGCAGCCGACATGGAGAGGGTCATCGCGGAGCTCCGAGCGAGAAGCTTGGAGATGGTCGACACGAACCCTCTGATGCGGCCGCGGTTCCTCTCCGTGTTCGACGAGTTGATGGAGACCGGGCTCATCCCCGCGTCAGGAGCGCCCTGAAGAAGGAACTTGATCTCTCAGATTTTTTTCTCGTTTTTCTAGGTGGAATTTTGTACCTTATAGAGAATCTACTGAGAAAATTGTTTTCGTGTTCCAGATTGATGTGTTCCTGTTTTTGTCATGCAAATATTAATACTTGATACTGTAGGAAGGTATCTTAGATGCAGATATATGTTATATAGTTGATTTACTCATACCTTTATAATAAAATACAAACGAAATCTATCAAATGATTTAATGGTCACAAACTTAGAATAATAAAATGATCATTTAC